CTGAAATGAGTCCAGAGGAGTGATCTCTGCCTTTATTTGCATCCCTAGGGAGCCCGGTAGAACTATGTACTTCCTTTGCTGCAACTTCTAGAGTCGCTTATTTTCTCCCTTCATGCTGGCATAATCGACAGGAATTGGGAGCATTTCACTGAAGCTGTAATATCGTCCTCCTCTGCAGTCATTCAGGGAGTGTGGGGAGGGTATAGGAGAGGCAGAAGCAATAGGGAGGTGAAGAAATGCTGCTTAAGCTTTCTCTGTCGCTTGCTACTGGGTTTGAGCTACAGGTTGTACAAGTCACATTGTATCTTGGCACCCACTGGAGTTGTGCAAGATGGCAGTAGTGGTCTAGGTTGCTGTTGAGTGGAAGTTTGTTGAACTTGTATTCTCTTCCCCTGCCAAACTTCTTGCTTGCCTGACTTCCTGCTTTTCTACTATCTAAGTACCACAAGTGGATTTTTATTATAAGCAAAGGAAGTAATAAAGATACAAAGTAGAGCCTTTTGGTTCTAAAATTACCTGTTAGGACAATATCAGAGTCTTGAATGTCAGTTCATCTTGATGCTGGCCAGCCAGATGTGTGATTGGTTGGCTCTTCCGACACCAGTAACCAATGGCTGGGTTATCTCATTGTCCCATCCTACCTTTACTGGGACATCAGAACTCTACCACTTTAGGTCCAAAGATTAAGGTAAAATAGGTAGGTTTTATTGAAGTATTGCTCAAATCTAAGATTTTGTTTAATGTTTTAAAGATAAGTTATTTTTGGTTAGAAGTTGATGTTGAGAATGAATGAATGGGTACCACCTCTGGTGAATTGCCTGGAGTCTGTATCAGAAGGCAATAATGGGGGGTGCTGGCATTGTTCTAGCTTCCTTTTTACTTCAAACATATCTTCAGCTACTTGTTTTCTCTTAATTTTTCCTATTCTATTATATTTCATTTTCTAGTCTTGACTAATTATCTTAGTTTCGAGAAGAAACATAAGATTTTTCTTTGGCTTTTTTAAATAATGAAAATAATTAATAGGACAAAAGGAAAATAGCCTTACTTCATCCATGCTGGAGTCTGTCCAACTCCAGGCTGGTCAGATGGTTTCCTTGGATCCTATAATTGACAAGTGTGTTTAAATCCAAAGTTGGAGAAGTGAAAATCTGAGGGAAGCTCAAGTTCGGAGGCCTCATAATCCTAAGGAAATTATTGGGCTGCATCAAGGAGCCATTTATGGATCTCCTCCTTTTTTTGTCCTTCCTGTGCTTTTAGTATGTTCTTCTGTACTGAGTTTTGTATTTTCTTGCAAAAAAAAAAGGAACATGAATTCCAATAATAAATCAATAAATGTGTTCTGGATTGTTTTATGATTTGATTGAAGTATGACATAGACGACTTAAGTTTTATCTTAAGTCAGTAACTCTAAGGATTTGATTCTCGAGTCTTAGTAACTTGGGCAAAGTAAATTTTCATATCAGATCTCTCTATAAGTTTAAATAAATTCATCAAATTAAAAAGTGTTCAGAGAGAACTTGTTTTGAGAAAGACAGTATGGTGCTTTTCCTTGCACTGCACAAAAGTAAGCATGTAGGAAGATTCTAAACTCTTTTTCCTTTTAGTTGCTTTTAGATCAGCATTTTTACAAGTTACTAGTTCATCATGTTTTATAAACTCACTGTCATGTGAGTATGTGAGTTATTTCTTTTTATTTAGATTGTTAAATTTAAATATTTAAATTAACTTCTTTAGCTATCTAAAATGGAAGCAATATATTGTTGAAAGTATGGTCTAGATGATGTGTGACAACATTTGACCCATAGCTTCTAATTTTTTTTCTATAAAAACATCTTTTCTGAGGAATGACAGTATGGCTTTTACATAGACCCAATGGTACAGATTTTATATTGAATAATTAGTATTTATTGACTTTGCTGTAGCTATTCAGTATTATGTACTGCATTAGTCTGGGTTCTCTGAAAAGCAGATGCCAAGCTGGAAACAGGCATATAAGAGATTTGTTTGGTGAAATGCCTGCTAGGGAAATTGGAGAGGGAAATGGATGAGGCTGGAGTAGCCAACGGATTGAAATGCAGGTTTGACGCCTGAGAAGGAAAAAGGGAAGGAAGGAAGAGAGGTCCTGGATTGGAGTGCAGTTCTAAGACAGTTTTGGCAAATTCAGTAGAGAGTCCTTGAGTGAGATAAAATTCCTGGACAGATGAGAATCACAGTTTGTAGGGAGGGGCCTGCCTAAGTATCCCTGCTGCACTCAGTCAGAGCTGGGAGCAGCCCGAGGGAGGCATGGCCTCAGTGTGATCATGGGTAAAATCGCAGCAATGGGGCCAGCTCACTCGCACAGAACCAGATCTGAGAGGTGCATTCTCATGGCCACAGCACATGTGAATATCAGGCTACTAAATGTTTTGCTTAACATGTACCACCCAATCATGGAATACATTAGGTCTAACCCAATACAGAGGAAAACAAATGTTCTCTTTCTACAGAGACAGAAAGGTAGGCTAATACAATGACATATCTTATCTCTTTATCAGTTGAACATAGGAACTTACTTGGTTTGCAAATAGCATGGTTGGCACACTGGGCTTTTTTAAGGAAGGCTGGGTCCTGGAGGTTGGTTTTTTTTTTGTCGTTCAGACAGAGCAAAATAAGACAAAAAGGCTTTGGAAAGAAAACTCTTGTGCTTTGAAGGCCATGTTTGGAAACCACCTTGAATGTGATGCTTAGAGTGAATCTCTTTCAAGAAAAATAGCCCTTGTCATCTGTTACGTGTTATGGGTCAGAAGTCTTGTTGTCAGGAGGGTGAGCTACAGTCTAGTCTAAAAAAGCTTTAATGTAGCCCTTATTACTAGGACCAAAACCTCATGCTTCTGCGAGAGCAATTTTGTTTTCAATGTAAAACAGCATGGTGTAAGTGGCTGTCATCTGTGAGTATATCTTGCTATACCTGCCTCACCAGATCTGGTGGAGAAGATGACCTTCCTTCTCTTCTTTCACAGCCAAGCTCTCTTTCTCTCTCTGCCTCGTGTACAACATTAGCAATTTTGTTTCAAATAATGAACACTGGCCATTGGGCTTTAAGACATAAAGATATTGCAAATAAGATATAAATTTGGGTAATAGTGGTAAGATTTCAAAGGGTATTTGTTGGTACTTTCTTTAAAATAGTTTATCTTGTTTACATATATTTATAGTTTACAATATATCTTCATTATTTTCAAGAGATGGAAAATGGGAATTAGGATGAGAGTAATGAGATAAGAAAATAGACTCACAGAGAAGTGGATGAGTGTCATTGACAACATCAGATGTGGCCTAAAAGTGGTTTGTATTATTGAGTTGTAAGAGTTTTTTTTATATAGTCTAGTAAAGTCCCTTATCAGATACATGGTTTGCAAATATTTTCTTGCATTCCATGAAACATCTTTTCACTTTCTTGGGTGGTATGTGTCCTTCGAAGCACAAACATTTAAATTCTAATGATATTCATTTAATCTATTTTTTTCTTTTATTGTTTGTGCTTTTGGAAACCAGTGCCCAACCTGAGGTCGCAAAGATTTATACTTATGTTTTCTTCTAAGGGTTCTCTTGTTTTAGCTCTTAGATCTAGGTCTTTGATACATTTTGAATTGATTTTTGTGTTCTTTCCTGTGTGCATCTCATTGTGCCAATACTATTTGTTAAAAAAAGACTCTTCTTCCCCTCATTAAGATATCTTGGCAGCCTTGTTGACATAGATGCCACTTCTCAGGCAAGTTTTTATTTGATGGCTTTTTCCAAATTAAAGTTGGTGTTATTGTTGGCCAATAAATGGTTTATGTACAGGCGGTTGCATTTTACAAATGTGTCTTCTACTTCATGTGTATGGAAGAATTGCCTTTTATAGAACAAAGCATAGAAGAACACTTTTAGATGAAGGAGCCTGTGTATCTGTCTATCCAGGTGGCATCAGTGCACTGGATTAGGTATCTTCCAAACAAGCTCTTCTCACATTTTAATGAGTGAATTCCCTGGCAATCTTGTTAAAATGCAGATTCTCAGGTGGGCATGGTTGCTCACATCTGTAATCCGAGCACTTTCGGAGGCTCATGTGGGAAGATCACTTGAGCTCACGTTCGAGACCAGCCTGGGCAACACAGTAAGACCCAGTCTCTACAAAAAATTACAAAAATTAGCCGGGTGCGATGGTACATAACTGTAATCCTAACTATTTGGGAGGCTGAGGTGGGAGGATTGCTTGAGCCCAGGAGGTTGAGGCCACAGTGAGCCATGTTTATGTCACTGCATTCCCCGCTGGACAACAGAGTTTAAACAAAAAATCAGATTCTCATTTTCTAGGTCTGGAATGGAGTTTGCATTTCCAGCCAGCTCCTGGGCATGCTGATGGTGCTGGTCCAGGGGCCACACCAATTAACGACACAAGAGTGTCTAATGTGAGCTTGTTATTCACTGTTGTTATATCTACCTATGTAAAGTGATTTCGAAGGGAAATAAAAATGGTTTATTTCAAATTCATTATTTTTGTATTTTATTTAATAAACTTCGAGATGGAAAAAACCACCATCCAGAGAAATAGAATAAAAGTTTCTTTCCAATGGCTGTATTAGTCCGTTCTCACGCTGCTAATAAGACATACCCAAGACTGGGTAATTTATAAAGAAAGAGGTTTAAGGCTGGGGAGGCTCAGGAAACTTAACAATCATGGCGGAAGGAGACGCAAACATGGCTTTCTTCACATGGCAGCAGCAAGGAGAACTGCAGAGTGAAGGGAGAAGGGGAAGCCCCTTATAAAACCATCAGGTCTTGTGAGAACTCAGTATCACGAGAACAGCATGGAGGTAACTGCTCCCATCATTCAATGACGTCCCACTGGGCCCCTCCCACGACACGTGGGAATTATGGGAACTACAATTCAAGATGAGATTTGGATGGGAGCACAGCCAGAGCATATCAATGGCCTTCTTGCCAATCTTAATTATTTTCTATCTTCCTTCCAGGCCTCTGATGATTGTCACTCAGAAGATCACAACCTTGGCATTTCAAGTTCATGATGGTGAGAACAGCAACCCTCCTTTTAGTTCTCAGAGTGAGCCTGACATGCAGAGCTCATCTTTTTATACGGTGTACACAGTCCAAAGTTTGGACAAATGCTGGCAGATCTTGCTTTATCTTGTTCAAAATTTCCAGGCCTCGTCAATCATAGCCTTTCAGTTTTCCAGCCATGATTCACCATTTTCCTGTGGAATCGGCAGTCTGGATTTGCTGACGTATTTGTACTGAGAACTCTGTGTTTTCTGTCTATCCTTACAATGTTTTAAATTTAAGTTAATTTGTGATACTCTCTGCCCTTTGTTTTCAAATCTGTTGAAAAGAAGTGACATCCTTTTCCCTTTGGTTTAATCTCTGAGAAGCTCGCAAGCTAATGAAAGATTAAATAGTATTGGCTGGTTAATCATTTTTAAATGCTAGGTTGTTTTTGTTTTTGTTTTTGTTTTCGTTTGTTTGTTTGGCTTGGAAAATTATCTAATGATAATTCCCTATAAAAAGCTGGGAAAAGGGCCAGGCACGGTGGCTCACGCCTGTAATCCCAACACTTTGGGAGGCCGAGGTGGGTGGATCACGAGGTCAGGAGTTTGAGACAAGCCTGACCAACGTGATGAAACCCTGTCTCTACTAAAAATACAAAAATTAGCCGGGCGTGGTGGCATGTGCCACCCACATGTAATCCCAGCTACTTAGGGGGCTGAGGCAGGAGAATGACTTGAACCCAGGAGGCAGAGGTTGCAGTGAGCCGAGATCGCGCCACTGCACTCCAGCCTGGGTGACAGAGCGAGACTCAACAACAACAACAACAACAGCAACGACGACAACAACAACAAAGCTGGGGAAAGGAAGAATCTTCTGTTTGTGTAAAGCTGAACATTTTCTTCACTCAGGCACCGCCTAAAAATGGCCAGAAAGTGTGATTTACATTGTTCAGACTGGGTTCCAAGAAAGGGAGGAAGATTATTTCAGGGTGGAAGATTTCAATATGGGCTTTAGAGAGGCCAGGAACAATTAGTAAAAGTATATTCTGTGGATTTGTACTGCTCTAACAAGCACTTTTTGACTGTTAACATTTTTTTTTTATATGTTGACAGGTTGAAATTTATCTCTGACAGCTAGTTTCCTTATTTTTCCTTAAAGCTTGTGAACTGATTTAATTTCATTTGACCTAGTGTATCCCTAGTTCATACTTGGTGATTTAGTCATTCTGTAGAGAACCGGGTAGTTTTATACCAAGGATGGAGTCTTCTAGGGTAAACAACCGTCCTGGTTTGCCCAGTACTAAAAGGTTTCAGAAGATGTGACTTTCAGTGCCAGAATCAGAGAGTCCCGAGCAAAGCAGGGTGAGTTAGTCACTCTACTTGCAGTTGGAAAGTCCCCTTGGTAGTGGTTATAGACATTAGCAACGGAAATCAATAGCTAAAATCAGTTTAATTTCTAGGATTGCCAGAGATTACTATTGGATGAGATCTTACAAAAATGTTTTTAAAAGCACTGCTTCTTTTTTCTTTTTAAGCAGCCTTGTTGCCTAAATTTACTTTTTAAAGCATTCTCAGTTTACCATATTTCCTGGAACATCCGTTCAATGCAGCAAAATGTTTACTTGCCTTTTTCTTTCTTTTCTTTTTTTTTTCTGGTGTGTGGGAGGAACAAGTAAATTCCAGAAATACTCTACCTCCTCTTAGGCATGGTTTTGAATTGCCTTCATGGTTGGTGACCATACTCAGCCTTAGCTGAATATACAGTTTTACAGTTGACATATTGCTTTTAAGATAATACTTCAGTTTCTTTGACTCTGCATTAATGTGTACATTTCACAGAAAGCACAGATGTGACTTGGTTGGGAGTTTTTCTGATACAAACAAAGGATAAAAAGAAGAAAACGTTGATAATTCCTTTGTAATTTTCTCACACTCAAGATTACATTTCACCCCCCCCCCTTTTTTTGGAAGAGGAAAATCTCCTGTTTCTTTTTCCATTATGTCCCACAACCAAGCTCTCAGCTGGTAGTAGGTGTCTGCACCTAGTGCAACCAGGGAGGTTTTTAAGCTGTGGCAGCGTGTTAAAGGCAAGATGCTCTCTCTGATGTATCAGGGAAGACATATACAAAGTGGCAAGGAACTCCCAGATGGGGAGGGTTCTCTGGGTCCATGTCATACTGTGCAGATTAAGTAGGAGAAAACTTTGAATCCTTCCCTCTCCATGTGAACCTACAGAGACTTTGCTTCTCACACATGTACTTATGGGTAGCTCTTTTGGTCCAGGGCATTAAAAAAAAAATGGAAACAGGAACTCTTTATGATTTATGAAGCAAACAAAGATTACCTGGTTCAAATGACTTTGATAAGAGCCTTTTAAAATTTGTCACCGAATTCACTTCAAGCATCTTATTTCTAAATTCTCTTCTTTTTCATAGGATTAGGTCGAAGAGCTGAAGACCTTTCTGCTGAACAACATCGACTTGCTATCAAGTAAGTGAAGTGTAATGATATATTAACGAGCCCTTTGCATATCAGTGTCTAGAGATTTTCCTCATTTAAATAATATCTGCACATTAATTCTGTTCTATGGATTTAATATCATTTATTTTATGAGTCTGCTATTGATGAACATGTGCATTGTTATCGGTCTTTGACTTTTACAAATGATTAAGTGATGAATAACCTTGTATTAGGTCATTTTGAAATGTGTTAGGGTAGAACTATAGCGTAGAGTCTCAGAAGTAGAATCTGTTGGGTCAAAGAGTAAATAGAACTGTACATCTGCAAGGCTCTCCTTCCCTGGGGTTGTTATGTTTACTTTATGTTTACTCCAGAAGTATTCTTATTGGGCGTGTGTCTTGGGGGTCCTAAAGAATAGTGAATGATCAGTGTCAGTATGATTAAATGCCACTGTGAAAAAAGATAGGCAGTAGGGCAGGAGAGGTGAGTATAGCTGAGTTAAATACAGGAGGAGGGCTACAGCTGGCTTTGCCAGTGTTGATATGAAGTAGGAAGGGGGAGTGTTGGAGAAGAAGTGGGAGGGGAGGGAATAACTTTGATCTGAGAATAAAGATGGCATGTGGGGTAGCACATCGGGTGCAGCCATGGTGGAGGGGTGGGGGGTTCCTGCTAGACAGAATCAGGGACAACTGGAAGAAGTGAGGAAGGTCCCGGGTGGTAGAGGAGGTTGACTTCTTCATTCTTGCATTAAGGAATTGGGACTTGGAAGCAGTGGAACACTCTTGAAAGATTCTAATGAATCAGCCCTTTCCTAAGCACAATGGAGGTGTAAATGCTATAGGGCAGCAGTCCCCAACCTGTTTGGGACCCGCTGTTTAGTGGAAGGCAGTTTTTCCACTGACACAGGGTTGCAGGTGGTGGTGGGGGGATGGTTTCAGGAGGGCCTTACATTTATTGTGCACTTTATATTGTTATTACATTATGATACACAATGAAATAATTATACAACTCACCATAATGTAGAATCCGCGGGATCCCTGAGCTTGTTTCCTGCAACGAGGTGGTCCAATCTGGGGGTGATGGGGAACAGTGACAGATCGTCAGGCATTAGATTCTCATAAACAGTGGCAGCCTACATCCCTGGCAGGCACGGTTCACCATAGGGTTCGCACTCCTCTGAGAATCTAATGCCACTGCTGATCTGACATTAGGTGGAGCTCAGGAGGTAATGTGAGCGATGGGGAGAGGCTGTAAATACAGATGAAGCTTCGTTTGCTCACATGCCGCTCACCTGCTGCTGTTGGCCCAGTTCCTAACAGGCCACAGACCAATACCAGTCTGAGCCTCAGGGGTTGGGGACCCCTGCTATAGGAGATAATTCCAGTAACTGGTTAGCAATGGCATTTCAGGGAGCCTTTATTCTATCTTGCTAGAACAGGCCTTCCAAAATGCCATTAAAGCACCACACAGAACTGTTCTCTACAAGCTTTTTTCCTGCCACTACCCTGGTCTGTTGCTCAGGAACTCAGGCCTGGTTGCCAAAGCAGACAACAGGCTGCTACTGCGGTTCTTCTGTGTGGCCTCTTCCAGTGGAAACTGGTTCCACCCATCATTTGTTTAGTATTTATGTTGGCAATCGGGAGGGAGTTTTCCCATTTGGAAGGATCTCGATCAGCTAACATTAGGTCAGGCTCCGCCCTGCTTTATGTTTGTTACCTTCGTTTTGTCCTGTAGACAGGGAAGGTTGATGAGAAAAGGACATTTCGCAGCCTGAGTTGCACTTGCCCTCGCCCACCTCTGGGTGCTTACAGCTGTGTCTGGCCAGCAGAGGGCGGCATGGAGCTCTGTGCCTGCTGTGAGCCACCTGCTTCTTTAACCTTTCCTTTCCACAAGGTTTCTCCTCGGCCGACTTTATAGAAACAAAACAAGGAAAGGTCATGTCATATATCGAATCTACAGAGATAACATTTGTGTTTGCTTATTTACAGATTCTGAAGAAAAAGCAAAGACCGAAGACTTTTCAATTTATTTACTTTATTTTCAATTTATTTACTTTATTTTCACAGAGTGAAACCCTCTTTTTTGGAATACTTAAGTTACCTTCTCAATTTCATGAGTGTCATAGCTGGTCCTTGTAACAATTTCAAGGACTACGTAGCCTTCATTGAGGGGAAGCATATACACATGAAGTTGCTGGAGGTGAACCGGAAGCAAAAAGGTTTCCACAGTTTGCCAGAACCTTCTCCCACAGTAAGTTTTTAGTGTCTAGAGAATAGGGTTTTGCTGCCAGGATTGACTCTGTCGAATAATGGTTCTAATTAAGAAGCGAAACAGTTTACCAGAAAGCTTGGCTAACAACTTTTCTCATTTATTTAAAATACCAGTGTAGTTACTTATTTGCAGCAGTTCTATGTTGGAGCAATGGGTGTTTATTTTACTGTGAAGCTCATCGGCTAGGAAAATGAAAGCAATAAGTTCATCAGTCAATATTTAGTGCATACAATGTACCCAGCACTGTGGAGTTAACATGTTTGAATACTATGGGTGTTTTGCCTTTATGAGTTGAAATTCAAGTATAGCCAAAAGATAGTATGTCATAGAAGGTGGGGGGACCGCGGAACTGGAATTAATGTGTTTTTCTTGCAGAGCCCACTTATTGCAAGAGAAACCAGTTTTACCTTGGCATGCCCAAAGCTTGCTTATATTGACCTTGAGAGAATTTAAGATGACTTTTTGAAATAATATTTTAAAATTTAACCTGAATTTTATCCATCTCATATTAGTCAATATTAGGATAACTCACTGAACTTTACAACTATGCTGAATTTATTGAGATCAAATATCCTGTATTTAAGGGACATTTGTAATTAATGAAAGGAGTGGTGAAAATTGGGTAAGGAAGGAAATGAGGATATTTCGAGTTAAATATTTTGCAAGTGCTGAAGCCTTGGCAAAGAATATGAGTTAAGTATTTGAAAATGTAAGGAATTTATTAATTAGGTATGAGTTTTTAGAGATTTTTGACATCATTCGGTTCTCAGCACTTATGACTGGTCAAGTATCTCAAGTTCATCTGCTTTACCAAAACGATCTAGGAGTGAAGTCACCATGGCTGTGAGAGACACCAGAGTGACCGCGTTTCTAGGCAGTATCTGTCACCTTAGTGTTTTCATGCTTCTTGTGCTTTTATTTATAAAATAATGTCATCAGAGAGTCTTTCTGCCACTCTCCAAGGAAACGCGAAGTGGTGAGGTTGCGTTGTAGTTCAAGACATACAGCTGGGAAAGGGCTGGGATCCATGAGCGGTGCCTATCAGTGGTATAGCTGTAATTGTGGCTGGGCGTGCTAAGCACTTAACCGGGATCCAGGCACTGTTCACAGGACCTTGCAAACACTCATTCACTTAAACCCCAAGGTGCCCTCTGAGGGAGGTGCTATTGCTATGCCCATATTACCAATAAAAGTCTTTTTTTTTTTTTCTTATGAAGTCGGAGACTAGAGTTCTGTTGAATGTTGAAGGACTTTCCCTGAAATGTCAGGAAAACTGGGCAAAGTCACTCTGTCCAGAGGAATTTAAAAAGTCAGCACACAATTAACTCCAGAGTAGGCTACATCTAAACCATCCTGGAAGGCTGTCTAGAGGTCCCCATTATCTGCCTATGTCCTGACTGGCCCAGGTGTTCAACTACTTGCTCAGAATCCTTCATACCTGAGCCTCTGTCTTCTCTGTTGGTGACTCAAGGACATTTCCTGGGCTCTGCTGGTCACAGGAATAGAAGGCAAAAGTGCAAACGTTTTTCGTTTTTCTCGATGGAAACTTGTCACCCTGTTATCCATTTCTCTTGTGTTTTGGATAATATAAGTACTTGCATTTTGTTCGTTGAATATGCTGATGGAGATTTTCTTCCAGTCTAGATACATTCAACCCTCAAGTGTCAGAGGCATGTTCTGTATCTAAATATAGCACCTAATCTCCATTGTCAGATTTGTCTCATGAGAAAGAATGCCTGTTGCCACTCCTTCTGGGGAATAATGCCAAGCAGCTGTTGGAGCAATGCTGTCCTTAGCAGGCCCATGCCAAAGCTGTTTTCTTCACACCTGAGCCTTCTGCACGGTGACACTGATTTTTCCCCATTTTCAGGGAGCTGTGATACACAAGTTGGGCATCACCTTGGTGTCTCTCCTTTTGTTTTTGACGCTCACGAAGACTTTTCCTGTCACCTGCCTTGTGGATGACTGGTTTGTCCATAAAGCAAGCTTTCCGGCTCGACTCTGCTACTTATATGTTGTCATGCAAGCCTCAAAGCCCAAGTATTACTTTGCATGGACTTTAGGTAAGTTTGATGGAGTAGCTGCAAATGAATGAGGGAGAAATGCTACTCCTTAGCCAGAACGACATTTTGGATCAGTTATGGCTTAGCCAGAACGACATTTTGGATCAGTTAATCAAAGAAGCTCAACACATAATGGGAGGCAGTTGAGCCAGGGTCAGTTTTAACATTCCAACATAGCACTCCTCTCTCCCACCCTCCATAAACTCAGTTCTCCACGATATGGAGAAAAACATCCTGGCCGTTATTTAAACCGAATGTTATTAACAGATGTCAAAACTTGGAAGCTTCTCCTTCTACCAATCAAAGCTGGCCATGTAAGGCAGTGGAAAGTTGAGGGGAAATTCCGGAATGATTTGGCTTTCTTGTCATTTTTCTGGGTTTTATATAATATAGGATGCACCTTGAATTAATCTGACCAACACACATGCTAATTTAGGTTACACTTCTTTAAGGAACTGTTGGTTAGGTTTTTATGTCTTAGAAAGAAGCTGACTTCAAGTGATTTTTTTTTTTTTTTTGGTAGAGAGTTCGACGTCATTTGGTTTTATCACACTTTTTTTTTTTTTTCCTGTGGGATAACTTGGTTCATATTAAGCTTTTATCTCTTTCCTTTCAAACAATTTTAGACTGCAGTTGCATAAAGCTTTGCTAACATGAGCTATAAACCTGTCTGTGTACTTAGAGACTGGGAAAGGGTGTTGATGAAGCATGGAAGCCCTGTCTGTATCACATGGAACCCTTTCAGGGATGGGAGTTGGACATCTTAGCTGCAGGTGACCTGCACTTGATGTCAGAGAGCAGTGATTTGGCTTATTAAATAAAATAGATTATTAAACTTGATTTCCGAGGGTTCAGCCCACATCTCACGAATGAGGGAGTAGCACTTAATTGCTTGAGTTCCTCTTCCCTCTCAGTTCATCCTTCAAGTTTTAAGTTTCAATTAAAGTTTGCAGGTACCAAATTACTTCTTTAAAAAATTATTATTTTTTGGCTCGGTGTAGTGGCTCATGACTATTATCCCAGCACTTTGGTAGGCTGAGGCTGGCAAATCACTTCAGGTCAGGAGTTCAAGACCAGCCTGCCCAACATGGCAAAACCCCGTCTCTATTAAAAATACAAAAAATTAGTGGAATAATCCCAGGTACTGTAATCTCAGCTACTCAGGAGGCTGAGGCATGAGAATCGCTTGAATCGGGGAGGTGGAGGTTGCTATAAGCCAAGATCACGCCACTGAACTCCAGTCTGGAGTGATAGAGCAAAGACTCAACTAAAAAAAAAAAAAAAAAAATTTTTTCAATTCGGTGGCAAAATATCATGTAAAATTTATCCATCTTTTAATCATTTTTTGTAGGGTACACTTCAGTGTTTGAAAGCTCATTCACATTTTACTGTGCCACTATCACCACCCGTCTATCTCTGGATCTTTTCATCACCCCAAACAGAAACCTCTGGTTACCCAGTAAAAAATAACTCCCCATTCCTCCTCCCTCCCGCAGTCCCAAATATTTTTTAAGGGCCAAACAGTGTTCCTGTAAGTTCAGTCCAATGCGTATTGATGTCTAGACATATCATTGGCCCGGAGAGATTCTTGACTTAGAGTTTTGTTAAAATTTACAATGAGGGAAATTTTGTTTCTGTACGCTTTCAATTTAATTCAAGGGAGTTTTTGTTGGATACCAGATTCTGTGCTAGGAGGAATCGGAAAGGTAGGACATTGACTCTCCCTCAGGATGTTGCATGGTTGGGAACACAGATACACAACCACCAGGCAATACTCTTCCAGCGCCCGTCCGTGGGAGGAATAAAGAGAAAAGGATGAATACAGATTGGGGAAGGTTCACCCAGTCTTTTATCGTTATTTCCTTGTTCTTGCAATTACAAATGCATGACTTTCTGTAGCAGGCAGGCCTCAGACTGCTATGGTTGGAAACCCCTACTTAGAACATTAGCTTATTTTTTCTATGTTAATTTTTTTTTTTTTTTTTTTCTTGGAGATGGAGTTTCACTCTTGTTACCTAGGCTGGAGTGCAATGGTGCGGCTCAGCTCCTGCAATCTCCCCCTGGGTTCAAGCGATTCTGCCTGCCTCAGCTCCCAAGTAGCTGGGATTCAAGGGCGGGCCTCCACCAGCTGGCTGGATTTTGATATTTTTTAGTAGAGATGAGGTTTCACCATGTTGGCCAGGCTGGTCTCGAACTCATGACCTCAGGTGATTCACCCGCATCAGCCTCCCAAAGTGCTGGGATTACAGGCGTGAGCCACTGTTGCTGGCAAATAATTAATAGTTTTAATTTCCTCTAATCTGAATGACTGTGTGTGTGTGTGTAGGGGACTGAGAGAGAGAGAGAGAGTATATCTAATTCCCTCCTCCTATCTTCTGCTGCCTCACCCACCTTCCTTTTCTCTTTTCTCTTCCTATCCTCCTGCTCCCATTTTCTGTATCTCAGAGCTTAAGGGCTGGCTTCTGGACTAAATCAGCTCCTGATCTCAGGAGGAAAGAAAGGCCATTCCTTTCCATAGGGAAAGTCCGAGACGAGGAGGGACCTGGACTGGGAAGTGTCATGGGAACAGGGAGCACCTGCACCTTTCTACCCTTTGGGGAGTTCCCCGGACATCTGGAGTACAGTGGAGAGGTACCCCTTCCTGTGGAGAGCTTCTATGTGGACTTAGCTCTTTTTCTCCCCCAATGCTTCCCTTTATTTTTATTTTTTTTTTTGGGTAGCTTCAGTAGAAACACTTCATTAATTTGTATGGCCTCAATTTGAAGTTTGTTACAGTTTAGATTGCATGGGCTGGTTGGAAGTTAACCTTTGTCTTATTTATGAATAAAGAAGCAATGAATAAAGCAATGAATAGTGTATCAGGGAATATTTAAACTGCTTAACCGAATAATTGTTTTCTCCAGCTCTCTTTAAAACACCATTTACATATAATTGATGGACTAATTACTCATGATTATAAATTTAATCCTTAAAGCTGGCCTCTTGATGAACCTCTGCTGAGCTTCACTGTGTTAGCCTAGCTCTAGATACTGTTTATATTCAAATAATCAAACTATTTCTTTTGGACTTAGTGTATGGTCCTGGCTGTTTTCCCCCTACTACTTAGTGCTAGTACTAGTTAGTGAGACTTTAGTCTGGGCTGTTTTCTGAGGACCACATAGTCCAACAGATGGGCATACAAATTAATCTATCTGTAATAATAGATTGGAGACATGCACAGTACAAGTAAAACCACTTTTGGACTGGTGAACTTAGAGCCTGTCACTGCTCTGAGACAAAAACCAGGCTTGGATAAATGACTGTGGGATCACTAGGTGGAGTCGGGATTCCAACATCCGCTCGGTGTGGTTCTGAGAGTCAGTGCTTGGGAACCTTTCACCATTTTCCTCTTTCAGGGTGACTCTTACCTATTCAGGTTGTGGAATCGAGTTCTAGGATTGAGATTCTGGCATTGTTGACAAACTACATTTTTTTTTTGTTTTTTTTTGTTTGTTTGTTTGTTTTTTGAGACGGAGTTTTGCTCTTGTCGCCCAGCTGGAGTGCAATGGCACGATCTCGGCTCATTGTAACTTCCATGTCCTGGGTTCAAGAGAGTCTCCTGCCTCAGCCTCCCAAGTAGCTGGGATTAGTCCAAATTATTTTTAAGGGCCAAAATGTTCCTGCATAAGTTCAGTCCAATGCTGTATTTATGTAACATTTGGCCGGAGAGATCTGACTTAGAGCTTTTGTAAAATTTACAATGAGGGAAATTTTGTTTCTGTACGCTTTCAATTTAATTCAAGGAGTTTTTGTTGAGTACCAGATTCTGTGCTAGGAGGAATCGAAAGGTAGGACATTGACTCTCCCTCAGGATTGTTGCATGGTTGGGAACACAGATATACAACCACCAGGCAATACTCTTCCAGCGCCGTCCCAGTGGGAGGAATAAAGAGAAAAGGATGAATACAGATTGGGGAAGGTTCACCAGTCTTTTATCTTATTTCTTGTTCTGCAATTACAAATGATGACTTCTGTAGCAGGCAGGCCTCAGACCTGCTATGGTTGGAACCCTACTTAGAACATTGAGCTTATTTTTTCTATGTTAATTTTTTTTTTTTTTTTTTTTTTGAGATGGAGTTTCACTCTTGTTACCCAGGCTGGAGTGCAATGGTGCGGTCTCAGCTCACTGCAACTTCCACCTCCTGGGTTCAAGCGATTCTCCTGCCTCAGCCTCCCAAGTAGCTGGGATTACAAGTGCCCGCCACCACACCCGGCTAATTTTTGTATTTTTAGTAGAGATGGGGTTTCACCATGTTGGCCAGGCTGGTCTCGAACTGCTGACCTCAGGTGATCCACCTGCTTCGGCCTCCCAGAGGTTACATGATCTTAAAGGTACCTAATATCTCTAGCCTCAGTCCCCTTAATAGCATAATAATAATAATAGGAGCTAACCTTTCTTGAGTATTAACTTGGGCCAGCACTGAGCTATCTACTGCACACATATTTAATTTTGTTTAATCCTTTCAACAGCCCTTTAAAATGAGTACCATTATTATATCCATTTTATGCTCAAGGGAATGGGTTTCTAGAAGTTAGATGATTCTTCTCCCAGGCCCATGTATGTAGTATGCTGCCAAGTGGAGGTAGAAACCTGTCCAATTTCCCCCTGGAGCCCATCCTTAACCTTCTGTCTCAATACTGTTATGAAGATTAAATGAGGAACTGCCTGTAAATTATTATATAGAGTCCTGGAAAGATAATAAGCACTGAAAACACACACACACACACACACAGAGAGAGAGAGAGAGAGAAAGATAGTTTCATTATTCTCTTCTCTTAGGTCTAACCAGCTGTGCCAGAAATGAGGCTGGAGATGGAAGAAGGAATTTAGAAGTGGTTGTACTGGTTCCAGTGATGGTCAGCCTGGCTCTGGTTTTAGTTCTCAACACAGACCTCAAGGCCCTTAGTGTCATTGATCTCTGTCACTCACGAATTAGTTCCCACACGTTTAAAACCATCAGTTTCTTACAGGCACACCCTCACTTTGTTTGTCTTTTTTTCTCCACTGGGTTCCCATCCAGTTGGCGAGGGGAGAATGACATAGAAGGACTTGGTCTCTTTCATGCTTCCTTCTAAAAGAAACCAGATCATCTTACAGTGAAGCCAAGTGTAAGAGAAGCAATGTTAAATCATTATCTCTGCCAAATATAAATGAGACAGACTTAGGACAGGTTGTTTTTCTTTAAGGCAGCTCTTCAGAAGGCCATCTAGAGTTGGACTTTTATAGAAAAAGAAAGATTTCTCTAAGATCTCCAGATCTAAGATTTCATAGTGCTGGCCGGGCGCAGTGGCTCTCGCCTGTAATCCCAGCACTTTGGGAGGCCGAGACAGGCGGATCACGAGGTCAGGAGATCGAGACCTTCCTGGCTAACACGGTGAAACCCGTCTGTACTAAAAATACAAAAAACTAGCCGGGCGAGGTGGCGGGCGCCTGTAGTCCCAGCTTCCTGGGAGCTGAGGCCGGAGAATGGCGTGAACCCGGGAGGCAGAGCTTGCAGTGAGCCGAGATCGCGCCACCGCACTCCAGCCTGGGTGACAGAGCGAGACTCCATCTCAAAAAAAAAAAAAAAAAAAAAAGGTTTCATAGTGCTCTCTCTATTTGATTAGTTCATTTTAGTTTTTTCTTAGAAAATATTCTAACAGATTTTTAAGTAAGCAGAAAGAGACAATTAGCCTCTTGGTCATCATAATAAAAGTGTGTTGAGTTCATTAAGGAATTGAATGGAGATGAAATATTTCCAGCAGGAGGACATTCTCTTATAGTTCAGTGACATAAGATAAAGATGGAAACAGGAGCTTTTAAAGGGACTTATGGGTGGCTGGCTTGGATGATTTTGTCCACACGTGGCCTCCATTGCAGCTGGCCCCAGAGTCACACCTCTAGCTCTGTCCTTTGTCTTGGGACCTAAACTTTTTTTAACCCCATCTCGGCAGCTCCAACTGATACACTACCGGCAGGTCATGCTTAACATGTCCAGACGGAGCTCCAGTCGCTCTTGCGGAGCTGGTTCTCCTCCTGATTTAGCACTACCTCTTAGGTAATGCCCTGCTGTCTTTAGTGACAGCTCTGAGACCTCTTCTGGGTCCCCCGTTTCTTCTGGTCTTTGTATTTGAACTCAGATCTATTTTTACCTCCTTTCTTTTCTCCCCTGCTGTCAAGTTGGTCACTAAATTCTCCTGTTTACTTATTCATTTTGGTTCTTCGTTTCTTATTTATTCTCATTTTTGCATTCTACGGACATCTAGCTTCTTTCTTCTTACCTTAGGAGGTGTTCCCTAAATGCAAGGGAATGAATGCCTAAAAATCAAGGTTACCAAACAGCCAATACATATTTTTCTGCTTCAGAATGTTAGCAGATCCTTTACATTTTGGGGTTCCTTTCCCAAGGACACTACTGCATATTTCTCCATCTTGAAGTTGACAGATATTTAGTGTCTTTTAAAAGCAGCAATGTGACTTTTGTTCCATATCCTAATGTGTTACTTTAAAAACCATAGCTGATGCAGTGAACAATGCAGCTGGCTTTGGGTTCAGCGGAGTGGATAAGAATGGGAATTTCTGTTGGGATCTGCTTTCGAACCTAAACATCTGGAAAATTGAGGTGAGTATATGATGCTTTTAAGTCCAACTTCCATAGTGAAGAAAACAAATGGTTTGCTTTGAGTGTCATATCCCCAGAATGCTTCATCCATGTGTCTGAAGAAAAGCTGCTCTCAGGGGATTGCCAGGCTCAGCAGCCTCCTGGACATTTTGAATCTCAGAATTGTTTTTTTCTGTCTTTTTTTTTTTCTTTTCCTTTTTTAAAGATATCTACTTTCTTGACAGTTTTAATGGTTCAAGGAAGAATGACACAAAAACATCTGAAAAAGAGCCAGGAAAATCTTTTTGTTCTTTATATTCTTGTTCTTTCAACTAGAAGGTCCCAATGTGTGATCGCTCTCTCTTCTCTTTCTACCTATTTCAGTGATGAATGCAGACTGGAAGCTCCTGTATTTTGATTTCAATATTGCAAACATTCTGTGTGGTTCCTTTGGAGGCATTTATAATGCATTCACTTTTAAGAAGAATTGTCATAATGTACAACTTTTAGGCCACTAGAATAGTGTGGTTTTTCTGTCTTCATTCTTGCACCACAATTTTTGGTCTGCTGTCATTATCAGAGGTGGTCTCCTTGGGGCCACTTCATTCTGGGTTTTCTTTGCATTGATAGCTCTTGGAGTAAACAGGAATGCCAAGTCTCAGACCCTTTCCCCCCTTTAGCTGAATGGGCGTGATTCTCAACATGCAGAAGCATTGGGTTACTAGCCAGGTGACTCATGTTTGCTGTTGGTTTTGGTTTTCCACCTGCCACAGGGCAGACAGAGCCCACTGGAGAGTTTGGTCAGGAGGGATTGTGTGTATAGAGCAAGAAGCCAGAGATAGATGGAAACTGACCACCTGCCACCCACATTGGGTGGAAAGTAGACCAGAAGGAGGCATGGGGGAAACCCCCAACATCTTTTGCCTGAGGCTTTTTGCATGTGGATGGCCTCCAGAGGGAAAGTGATCTGCATTTTAACTACAAAACATGGTGGAATTTATAGGGAGGATTATATTTTTACTTTTCTTTTTTTTTTTTAGCATTGAGACAGCGCTACTTCAAAAGACAGACAAGCAGAAAGAAATAGAAGCATGCCACTGTTATCTAAGTAAATTACATCATATGTTCAACTTAAACTCATCATGCTATTTGGTTACTCAGGTCAATCAGATTCAACGGATATTAATTGAGGGCCTACTGTGGGCAAAACATTCATTTTTGTATAGTCCTAGAGGATCTGGGGTCTCCTGTGGGTGGAAGGCCTTGGCAGATGCTGTAAGAGCATGGCCAAGGTCCAGCATCAGTTCTGAATGAACAAATAATGCTTTTACTGTTGGTCGCTGCACGTGAGGCAAGAAGCAGTCCCCGGTCACGATGGGCCACGATGTCAGTGGACAAGGTCCAGCTTTCAGAATGACCTATCTCAGTTTTGGAAAAGCAGTATAGGTGATCCGTAGGCTTCTCTTTTTTACATAGATGATGTCAGAGAGAGTTCAAGTGTGTTACGACTGTTTCTCACTAACATTCTTCTCTCCCTGAGAACTCATGGACTGGCTGCCTTGGAGTTTTGTTGGGTAAATGTCCTTTAGGATGGTCCCCCTTGACCTTCGGCTGCCTACTAGTCCCCCTAGCTATGCGCCAAAAATCAGAATCCTTCCACAGTGGACATGTCTTCAGGGTAAAGGGCTGAGTCATTAAGTGTGTATTTCTTATAAAAGAAAACCAGGAGGAGTAAGTTTACATTGTCATCATACATTTGATATAGAATAAGGAGGTAAAGAAAAACAAGGAAGTCTGATTAGTTAAGACACCCCAAGGCTGGGCTTATAGCATTTTATTAGCCATAGAAGAAACAGATAAATAAAACTCCTTGAGGTTTTGAAATAAAAACTCACAATAAAAAGATCTATTTTCCATCTATCTTCCTTCCTCCCTCTTTTCTCTCCCTTCCTCCTTCCTTCTGTCCCTTACAGACATACTACATTAGGCCAATGTGTGGCCTGTATATGATTTTCTTATGGTTGAAAACACTTCAGAAAAAAGTGGCACTTAGACTTTCTACCTTCTTTAGGAATTCTGATCCTTGTATGTTTGCATCATGCTTTTTATTTTATATTATTTTATTTATTTATTTATTTATTTTTGGGATGGAATCTTGCTCTGTCGCCCAGGCTGGAGTGCGGTGGTGCGATCTCAGCTCACTGCAACCTCTGCCTCCCAGGTTCAAGCAATTCTCTTGCCTCAGCCTTCTGAGTAGCTGGGGTTACGGGTGCCTGCCACCATGCCCAGCTAATTTTTGCATTTGTAGTAGAGATGGGGTTTTGCCATGTTGGCCAGGCTGGTCTTGAACTCCTGACCTCAGGGGATCCGCCCACCTCGGCTTCCCAAAGTGCTGGGATTACAGGCGTGAGATACCAAGACCTTTTTTTGTTTGTTTGTTTTTTCCAAAGAGAAAACCCAGGTAATGGGTTATCATGGGGATGTCCCTTCTCAGTAGTTGATTTGCTTGCGTCACTGCCAGTTGGGTGATATTTGTTTCCTTTCCTGTGTTTTGATCCCTTCATGCATAAAATCTCTTAGTATTCCAGAAACAATTGGAAACGTTGGAACCTGAGTAGCTATCTATAGAGTTAACTGTACAAGACTGACCTAGTTTTAGAGGGCTACACAGTGAAAAGATGACAATTAAATTTAAGCTGTCCCCGTAAAGGCACCAAATTCCCATGATTAAACTTTTCCTGGGGCAAATTCCTTTTTAGAATATTTAATTATAAAATTCAGATGGCTTAAAAAATTTTAACCAGAGTGGAAGGGAAACCCACAAAACGTTCCTTCAGTTTTCCTGTAATTTGAAAATACATTTTGAAAAAAAATTGAGATCTTGCAAGCCAAGTTTTAGTTGCAAAGTGGATCTTATAAACAGCAGAAAATTGTCCTGTGTAGGAAGGAACAGCTGATTTGCTCTTGACTGTGAGTAGTCACTATTGAAATACCGTATCTAACCTGCTGCCAGGGAAACTGGGGAGAACTTCCCATTACTTGGGGTATTTTTAAAGTTAATGATAGGTGTTATTTTCTTCTTTCCAGACTGCCACAAGTTTCAAAATGTACTTGGAAAACTGGAATATTCAGACAGCTACTTGGCTGAAGCGGTAAGAAAAACAAAAACGACCTCATTACTTAGGGCACTGGGATATGTTTGGAGGGGAGTCAGTAGCTGAACAGTGGGAGTCTGCCTGTGGCAATGTCATCTGACACTCTTGTTTTGTATTAACATCTGTGCCCCGTAAATGAAAAAGTAGAAATACAGTAATTTGAGAAGGTCATAATGTAGCATATTTATTTTATATCCCTGAATGCTGCCATTCCTGTATACCAGGTCCTGGTTTTATCCTCCATCAATCCCATGAGATGTTGTGAGTCATTACCCCCATTTTACAGGTGAGGAAAAGTGAGACCCAGAGAGGTTATGTCACTTGCCCAAAGTCACCCAGCTAAGGGGCAGATACAAGTACAAATGGTCTGCTTTCAGAATTAGATTATTCTTCTTCTTCTTCTTCTTCTTCTTCTTCTTCTTCTTCTTCTTCTTCTTCTTCTTCTTCTTCTCCTCTTTCTTCTTCTTCTTCTTCTTCTTTTTTTTTTTTTGAGAAGGAGTTTCACTCTGTCACTCAAATTAGAGTGCAATGGTGCGATCTTGGCTCACTGCAACCTCTACCTCCTGGGTTCAAGTGATTCTCCTGCCTCAGCCTCCCGAGTAGCTGGGATTACAGGTGTCCACCACCAAGCCTAGCAAATTTTTTGTATTTTTAGTAGTGATGAGGTTTCACCATGTGGGCTAGGCTGATCTCAAACTCCTGACCTCAGGTGATCCACTTGCCTCAGCCTCCCAAAGTGCTGGGATTACAGGCGGGAGCCACCGCACCCGACCCAGAATTAGATTCTTGCCCTCTCTGCTGTGCTGCCTCTTACCTTGAGGGAGAGTCTATTGTTCATATGTCAAGGAAGGTTAATGCCTGCATCAAATCACCAATGACTGCAGTGTTCACCCCTAGCAGTAAACGCTTTATGGTATCCCAGATGTTTATGCTTTTAAAATTTATATTTTTGTTGATATTTCCCTATCCTTTTGTTTTCCTACATGTTCCAAAATTAAAAACGTTATTTACTACAGAAATAATAATATGTCGTCCTTGAAGCAGCAAGCTCTGTTACCTAGTGATATGCCTATCATAATTAATACAGGGAGTATGTAAAAATATTAAGCTTTAAAGGAGATTCTACTGTTTTGATAAGCAGCATCTTTCATGGGTCAAAACATTGGGGTAAGAGAAGAGACAGAGAGTGTAGTAATTCCTCCAAAGTAAACTCATGCAGTATTTTCTGACAATTGATCTGAACATAGTCATCTTGAAATTTTGGCCTCAACATTATTGCTATTAATTAATTTTGCAAATGATTTTAGCATAAACTTCTGTTTCTACATACTGAGTACTCCCAATGTGCTGAGTCATCCAATGTCCAAATCTGCTCTCAGTCCTGTGTTCATCTCTCCAAATGCATTCTTTTTCTTTCTATGAAGAGGGAGCCATCATGCTTAGTTTGTGTTTAAATTGGTTGCTGTTGACCACCCATACAGCGCTGTGTTGGTGTTACCTGTTTGAATTTCTATTTTATTTTTTATTTGGGTCCTCTCATTTAGCAAATGAGGTGGTGGCTTCCTTAGAGTGCCACTGGCAATTCATAGACTGAGTTTTGGGGGGAAATTCCATATCACTTTTTTTTTCAAATAAACAATCAGAAAGCCAAAAACCTTCAGGGTATTTGCTGACATTTGCTAGATTGTCACAGTATCACTCTTTAAGGCAGATTCATGGATTGAAGTCTGATAGACACTGGGAGACCTGAAGAGGTCACATAACCGACATATTGATTTTGTAATGGAGTCATTGCCAAAAGAGATGAACAGGGTGATGATGCTGATTAGGTTAGATGGCATAGGAGCCTGGTGGGAAAGGTAAACTAATTTTTACTAAATAAGGATATTCATTTCTAAAGACCCTGATTCCAAAATTGTTACTGACAATGGCACTTACTTAAGCACCCCCAGTAAATGAGGCCATTGGTGGAGTAAGCATCTGTAAGGCAGGAACTCCTGCTGGGTGGAAAGTGATCACTCAGACCTATAACAGATGTAACAGATGTAGTGTGATGGGTCCAGATCATTTAGTCTATGGAAATTAAAAATGTATAACATCCCTTCAAAAGGCTGAGCTGTGAATTACCTATCTGGTAATGCTTAAGGAAATCAGAGTAGTCCAGGCTGCTTGGATTGCACTGCAAGTCCCTGAAGACGGTTAGGGAGGCATCGCATCAGTAATGGACCAAATGATTTCTGCATAGTCTTATCCAAGAAACAACAGCTGTAGTTAGAAGTTTCTGGTATGTTTCACCTGTGTCTTGTTCCTTCCTGTCTTCGCAGCGTGTGCTATGAACGGGTTCCATGGTACCCCACGGTGCTAACCTTCATCCTCTCTGCTTTGTGGCATGGTGTCTACCCCGGATACTATTTTACCTTCTTAACTGGAATTCTTGTCACATTAGCAGCTAGAGCGGTAAGCATCCTTTAGGCCTAGGGTCTTTCCCCTCAGCAATCTGATGCCTGCGTGTTTGTTATCTGTTGGGTCCTAGTAGGGTTGGGGGTGGGATGTGAACATGGGAGCGATGTTTTGAAAAATCAAACAGTATGCAAGAGTCTTCCCATTAGAGAAATACTTGAATATGTAGGAACCCGGAGTCATTACAAAAATGGTTAACCATTTTATGTTCGTAGTTTGCGAAACAAAAGGAATTGTAGGGACAATGTTTAGTACCCGAAGAGATGAAAACATTTTTAATCATTAAAGTCTGTGAACATAGGGCCGGGCGCGGTGGCTCAAGCCTGTAATCCCAGCACTTTGGGAGGCCGAGGCGGGTGGATCACAAGGTCAGGAGATCGAGACTATCCTGGCTAACATGGTGAAACCCCGTCTCTACTAAAAATACAAAAAACTAGCCGGGTGTGGTAGCGGGCGCCTGTAGTCCCAGCTACTTGAGAGGCTGAGGCGGGAGAATGGCGTGAACCCGGGGGATGGAGCTTGCAGTGAGCCGAGATCGCGCCACTGCACTCCAGAAAAAAAAAAAAAAAAAAAGTCTGTGAAAAAAAAAAAAAAAAAAAAAGTCTGTGAACATATACAGTCTACTAAGTACAGATGATGATGATGATTAATTAACGTAGGCACCATAGGATTTCAATTTGTTTATACTTTGCTTAATTTCTCATTTCATTACTCTGAGCCTAGAAATAACTCACAAAGTCTCTTGAGCAGTCAATGAGGTAGCGGCCACAGGAAGTGAGTCTGTCGGAGATTAATCTAACCTCGTGTGTTCACATGCCCAACGCAGTTAGCTTAGTTTGCGTTTGTGAATTTTGTAAATTTGCTTCTCTAGGTTTTTTCAGGAGCCTGTAGTTTCTCTAGATTGTTCTGCAATTTGCTTGTTGTACAGCACGATAATAAAGAATAAAACTTTCCTCCAAGAAGAAGACGAACATGCATAGAAGTAATTGTGATTCAGTGCTTTCGTTGCCAAATACAGGAGTTTTGTATTTAATTTTATTTTAATCTTTGATTGTGATTGTGGCCTTCCTTATTTCTGATGCCAAGAGTTTTTATTGACATTGGTTGAGCCATATTTTGGATGTGAATTCAGGAGTCCCCACATAGCTACCCACTCACCGTTTAATTCGTTTTATCCTGTGACGGTTTCAGGAGCCCTACTATGTGCTAGTCAGTGATTTAGGTGCTGGGCTACTGCAGTGAACAAGACAAGAGTCCCTCCCCTGAGGATCTCTTATTTTAGTCAGACACAGGTGTGCTGGAATATATATATATGAACAAAGTGAATTACTGTTCATGCTGACTAGTATACTTTTGAAATTAAGTGCATATTATACATATTTGTACATAGAAAACAGGGGAGACTTTTTCTTCCCTCCTGTTCATGTAACTATTTAGATTATAAAAGAAAAGAACAAGTGGTCAGGCCAAATTAAGAAATAAAACTAAGAATTCTGTTTGCTAATCTATCCAGAGGATTATTCCCTCAGGTGTCTTTTACGCTATGGTCTCAACTGGCGTAAAGGCTCAGATTTGTGTAGAGCTTTTCTTTTGGATGGCCTGGAAACACTATTCGCAAACAAATTATGTAGGGGATAGAGAGGAGAGAGTTGATAGAACAGTGTTTTTATTTTGTCTAGAAGGAGATTGAACTCAACAGTCATGAAGTGTCTTTGGGCCCTAGAAGTTACCCAGTAAAATCTCACACCTGACGTGCAGCATTGCTCGATGGATGGACCCTGGTCTCTGTCCTGAGGAACTTAGGGCTGACAGGCAGCCTTGGGCACTGATGCGTCTTCTGCTTTGAGGCTGACCTGCCTATCGCCCAGCCATTGTTTCCAGCTCTGCCTTTGACCTGAATCTGGAAACTGGGGGTCTTTCTAGAGCCAGATCTAGTCACATGTGTCAGAAGACCTACAAAGGAGTGTATCCTTTGACCTAGCATTTTCCATTTCAAAGAATTGTCTCTTTACCTAAGTCTCAGTTTCTTTATCTGTAAAATGGGAATCATGATGCTAACATATTAAGCTTGATGAGAGAATCAACCAGAGATGAGTCATGCAAAGCAGTAACACAGGCTTGGCACAGAGTAAGCACTCAGTAAATGGTAGCTGCTTGTATTATTAGTAATAGTAATATTATTTGTGTTATCATTACCTGAAGGAAGTAACTAGGAAACAGGGCAGAGATTTATTTACAAGGATATGCATCACAGAATTGTTTATAATAGCAAAATGGGATGGAAAGACAAACTAACTCTTCCAGATTAACTTAAAATTATATTAGAGATTAATATTTACTGACACGGAAAAAAGTGTATGATATATTACTAAATGAAAAAATGAGCTAGAAATTATATTGGTGCCAGTAACAATATTAACATGGATGCATATGAATAGAAAAAGCTTGGATGGCTCTGCACCAAGTTTTTAAGTGATGCTTTCCTTTGGGAGGTGTTAAAAGAGAAAGAAAAATTTTTTTTGTTTGCTTAGTTGTTTGACCATTTTTCTATAGTGAACACGTATTATTATTATTATTATTTTAATAAGAAAAGTTGGCCAGTCACAGTGGCTCACACCTGTAATCCCAGCACTTTGGGAGGCTGAGGCGGGAGGATTGCTTGAGCCCAGGCGTTCAAGACCAGCCTAGGCAGCAAAGCGAGACCCACATCTCTGCAATTTTTTTTTTTTTAAAAACTAGCTGGGCATGGTGGCATGTGCCTGCAGTCTCAGCTACTTGGGAGACTGAGGTGGGAGGATCATTTGAGCCCAGGAGTTTGAAGCTGCAGTTAGCTATGATTGTATCGTTGCACTTCAGCCTGGGTGACAGAGCAAGACTCTGTCTTAAAAATAAATAAATAAATAAAAATAAAAACAAGGAGTCCTGATGGTATTTGTAGCTGAGAATACAACTCAGATGTTGGTCGTCTTCTGTAGCCTGTGTTGCTGTGGCATACTACCTGCACGCGCAGAGTGGAAGTCGTCATTTGTTTTTTACCCGCTCCTCACTGCAGTTGCTTGTGTTGGCTTGCAGGTCAGGAACAACTACAGACATTACTTCCTTTCTTCAAGAGCTCTCAAGGCTGTGTATGACGCAGGCACCTGGGCCGTCACTCAGCTGGCTGTCTCTTACACGGTAGCGCCCTTCGTGATGTTGGCAGTTGAACCAACCATCAGCTTATACAAGTAAGTTTCCATTGTTCTCAGTTGCCATCTAGTAAATGACTCTATTTTCACTGTGTTTGACTTAGGAGGCAGTACATTGAATGAAGCAGTCCTAAACACTTCTAACGGGGGCTTCAGTGTAGGAAATGTCCATAGAAGCTTTAAAAGGAAGTGGCTGTCCTGGAGATGCCAGTGTACAAATTCCAATACATACGAGCACTTTTGACAGGAATCCGTTAAGCCATTCAGAATGTCACTCAGGGGCCCTCTCATGGCAGTATATTTTGAAGGGATGGACCCTGATTAAAAAAAAAAACTCAGAGGGTGAATTTGCTGCCCTTAGCTCTTCCTCCTGGGGGATAGGAGGTAGGCTGTATTGGGGACTATGAGGTGTCTGAGAGCAGGACAGAAATGGAGGCAGGAGTTGGGGTGTGGCTGAGGCTGGCATTGCCTGATCGAGTGGTGTGCAGAAAGGCTCCCTGGTGAGGCTGGTGGGGGATTTATGCGGCCAGTAGCATGTGTTGGAGGGGCGTATGTGGAATTGAGGCTGGAGGAGGAGGAGGCTTGCACCACAGACCAACCCTTATAGTCAAACACCTGTGCTCCAGGTGAACTAATTACTGACTTTCATTCTTGCACAGTTATGTGTGATGAGTTGTGTTTCTCCACGGTTGTGAAGTGGTTGAGCACATGCTCTTGTGAACTGATGGTGTGTGACCTCTGGCAAGTTGTTAACCTCTTTTACCTGTGTTTTCTCAACTGGAAAATGAGGCTGAGAATTCACCTGAGAGCACCATCATTAGTGCTGGGTGTTAGAATTAATGAGGTAAATGTGCAGAGGGCTCAGGCCAGTATCTGGCATATAATCTGTACCTAATAAATGCTACCTTGCATGATTTAATGAGTTGCACGGGCTTTTCTAGGTTAACTTTGGAACATCGTATCAGTTTTTAAAAAGTGACTTAGAGGCCGGGTGTGGTGGCTCACGCCTGTAATCCCAGCACTTTGGGAGGCCCAGGTGGGCGGATCACGAGGTCAGGAGATCGAGACCATCCAGGCTAACATAGTGAAACCCCGTCTCTACTAAAAATATGAAAAATTAGCCGGGCGTGGTGGCAGGCGCCTGTAGTCCCAGCTACTCAGGAGGCTGAGGCAGGAGAATGGTGTGAACCCGGGAGGCGGAGCTTGTAGTGAGCCCAGATCGCACCACTGCACTCTAGCCCTGGGAGAGAGCAAGACTCCGTCTCAGAAAAAAAAGAAAAAGAAAAAAGGTGACTTAGAAATAAACAGTACAAACACACCTTCTTCTTAAGTTGGGAATTCCCTATAGCTGATGGAGGGGTCATGAAGGGATTGAAGAAGTTTTTACTACTCAGTATGTGTATAAGTATCTGTAAGTGGGATGATTTATTTGAGGCTATAGAAAGAGAAGGTTGAGGGAACCATACAACACTGATCAATGACGTCCATGCTGTTACAATATATGCTTTTATACTTCTAGTTGGGTGATAAGAAGTTATGTCAATATAACATGGAAGCTGTGCTGGTTTATACTCAAATTTTTCTATGCAAAGGGGTGTCAGAAGAGTGGGAAGAGAATTATAAGCTTCTGTCAAAAAGAAGCCATCAGTTCAGCTGCTAGAGAGGTAGGAGTCATTTCAGTCCTGGATGAAGAAAATGGAACTGAGAAACCCAATATATGTGGCCATTGAGCATTTGAAATGCAGCTAGTGGCGCAGAGGAACCAAATTTTCAATTTTATTGAATTGTAATTAATTAGAATTTTTACAGTCATGTGTTGCCAGCGGCTATTCCAGATTGATGACACCTCAAACAGGAGCCCCCTTCACTGGGACTCCCTCCTCAGAGAGGCACACCCCCAAGCTGGCATTCTGACTGCTTCTGCCTCCTTGTGCCCACCTAGGGCTGCCCCACGTGCTTCCAGCTCCAATTTCATTCCTATTTGTCAGTGCCCTCAAGCCAACATTTGCCCTTTTGTCTTCTGCATTTTTAACATGCCCAGAAGCAGCCTTTGGCACCATTGAGCTGTCTGCAGGGGCTGTCCAAATTGTTTCCTTTAGAGCTCTGTTTTTGTTACAGAGTCCTCCTAGGTTTTGAGTTATGTATTTCTAACATGATTTTTCTTTCCCCCTGTAAGCCCTGGTATTCTAAGCCCCTGATATTGCCTCATAAGAGATTTTTAAGGAATATATTGATCATGTTATAGCAGAAGCGCCTGTATTCCACTCAGTATCATGTAATACCTGTAGTGTGCTAGGCATTGTGCTAGAATGTGGGGCTAGAATGGAAGGCAAAATATAGAAATCATTTCTGCTCTCACTGGGGTCATAGCTTGATGGGAAAGACAGGTAGTAATTGACAAATGTATAAATACATGCTGAGATCGTACTTTTAGTGAATGATATAGAGTTTTAAGAGAGTATGTAACAGGAATCTGCCTCAGCCTAGGCATTGGGGACATCTTTTTGAGCTCAGTGCTGGAGGTTGTGCAGTGGGAGTGAAGCAGGCTCAGTGTGTGTGAGCATTGTGGGCAGTGCTCCAGACTTCCAGACTTGGAAACAGCCTGGAAAAGCCCCGTCATGTAGCCTCCCATAGTGTAGCATGATGCTCCATGTGCTGAAGACCAGGGAAACGTGAATGTAGGCAGAACATAGAATCCAAGGCGGAGGGAGGTGAGCTGAGCTGAGGAGAGCAGAGGGTAGGTGTCAGTGTCCCTGTTTATCACATGAGGAAGTGGAGGCTCAGAGAAGGTGAGTAACAAAATTTACACAGCAGGTAAATGTTAAACCCGAGTTTCAGACTCAGCGTTCCCTTAATAGCAATATCAGTAGTGGAGTTCCTAAAAATTTCTTTAGGAGAAGTTATTTTGGATGCAAACTACTGCTTGGGGATCATAATAAGTGATTTGTTAGTGATAATATTGCATTTAGCCAACTAAAACAACAATTCCTGGGCTTAGGCAGGAACTCAAGGGGCAGAATTAAATTATCAAGTAGCTTTTCACTTATTTTTAAAAACAACCCAGAATATTTTTTTTAAACGTCTTTGTTTAGGATGAAACAGGAGTTGACATTTTTTGGGTCAAGTAGGCCTATTTTAAATGATCCAGCCTAGTGTATTTTCTGGTTTCTAGTTATTTATATAATTTAAGTTTCCTGTCTAGATCAGCTCTGTCCAATAGAAGTTTCTATGATGGCTGGGCATGGGGCTCACATCTGTAATCCCAGCACTTTGGGAGGCCAAGGCGGGCGGATCATGAGGTCAGGAGTTTGAGACCAGCCTGGCCAGCATGGTGAAATCTCGTCTCTACTAATTATACAAAAAATTAGCCAGGCATGTTGGCATGTGCCTGTAGTCCCATCTACTCAGGAGGCTGAGGCAGGAGAATTGCTTGAACCCGGCAGGTGGATATTGCAGTGAGCTGAGATCACACCACTGCACTCCAACCTGAGCGACAGAGTGAGACTCCATCTCAAAAAAAAAAAAAAAAAAGAAGTTTCTATGATGACAGAAATACTCTACATCTGTGCCGTCTGAGATGCTGGCCACCCAACATGTGTGGCCAGTGAGCATTTGAAATGCAGCTAGTTGGACGGAGGAACTGAATTTTCAATTTTATTGAATTTTAATTAATTAGAATTTAACAGCCACATGTTGCCAGCGGCTATTCCAGATTGATTACACCTCAAACAGTGTTTTCATAATCTTTTAAGAAAATCCCTGAATTTGGACAAGAAAGAAAATTGCATAGTTTTTTAGTGAAGGCAGGCCTGGTTGTGTTCCAGATCTGTTCCTCCCCTTTGGCGAAATTCAGTAGCCAGCAGTAAATCACAGATGTTTGCAAACGCTTTTCTCAGTAGATCCTCATTGCTTAACGTTGAAATTTCACTTGTACTTCATTGTTAGGTCTAGTCAGTGTTCAGTCGAGAGTGGCTTCAGATCTCAGCCTTAGAGTGCTCAGTCTAACTTCTTTAAGTTGTAAATGAGCCCAAGTGAATACTCAAATATATTATGAAAGAACCTTTCTATGAAATCATTTTGAAAAGCAAATTCACATACATCATTTTGTCTTTAATTGGATAACTCTTTCTTAAATTCAGTGGGTAATAACGTTAGAATTTGTTTCTCTTTTTGTTTTTTGAGTTGGGGTTCTCCTCTGTTGCCGAGGCTGGAGTGCAGTGGCGTGATTGCGATCTCAGCTTGCTTCCGCCTCTGCCTCCTGGTTCAGGTGATCCTCCCACCTCAGCCTCCCACCTCAGCCTCCTGAGTAGCTGGGATTACTGTCATGTGCCACCGTACCTGCCTAATATTTTTTATTTTTGTAGAGATGGGGTTTTGCCATGTTGCCCAGGCTGTTCTCAAACTCCTGGGCTCAAGCATTCTACCCACCTTGGCCTCCAAAGTGCTGAGATTACAGGCCTGAGCCACTGCACCTGGCCAGAACATTAGAATTTGCATAGAAACTTTCATAGATGGCAAACTCTTTGAGAGCAGGAACCCCGCCTAATTCATCTTTACATCTGGGTCCTTAGGTCAGTACCTGACATGATCAATAAATGTTAGTTTAGTCTTTCTATAATAGAAAGATGAAATATTCCTTCAAATTTTAGAGAAATATGAAATGTCAGAAGAGGTTACTAAACTTCACTAGGTGTTTTCCACTTGATGCTCAAAGTAGCTGGATTTTACCTAACATAATTGTCCCAGTGTAGATTTGGCCACATATGAAAGATTAAGGCAAAGCTCAAGAACAAAGTATAACATATTTTGGATGTGCAGATTTTGAAAGCTGGAGTTATCTGTGGCTAAGGTGTGCCCGTGAGAATCCCAGTCTATACCTGTTAAACCAGCGTGTTTATCTGTGGAGCACTTTTTCCACTCTCATTAATGTCTTGGTTTAGACAGTAAATTAGATGGTCACTTGCTGTGGCTGCTTACCCCTTCCCTGGTTAAACAGCTGTTAATCATGTACTTGTCTTGTTTCCATTCCCACATGGGAAGGGGTGGAGGCTGGTGCCTTTTTGTAGATCCAGTTTATTGTTTTGCATATCCTAAGCAGTAAATGCTTATTGAAAGAATAAATGAATGCATGTATGTTCACTTCTGTACGAGCTCTTCACTATTCTGTAAATACTGTCGGGGAGGCATTCCTCCTGCTAAAGGATGGAGAAGTTTAGGGGCATATGCGAGTTTTCTGATTCTAATGTGCCTGACCTTATAATCACAGAAGTTGGGGAATGATGCATAAATCAATTGTGCTTTCCTCCTTCCCCAGCGTTATTTTCCTTTCTTCAAAAAGCATTAGGGAAAATATAAGTTGAACCTTTCCAAATGGATCTAGAACAGTTGTGCCAATGCAGCTGTTTCTAATTACTTGCATGTATTGATATGCTCGATATTTATTGCATATCTACGTTGTACATACTGCTGAATACTACGCTTCGCAATAGAAATCCACAAACATCAAAAGCAAAACTTGTTTTCTTATTAGTTTAGATGAGAGTTATTTTTAGGGTTATGGACTGGATTTTCAAAATCAGGATTCTTCTAGCTCATAAGACACAACAGAAGAACCTTTTATACTTGAGTAGAGCAATGGGTTAAAGTATTAGTTGCATTGTGTTTAGGGAATAGGATACAGTCATATGTTGCTTACCAACAGGGATATGTTCTGCGAAATGCATTGTTAGGCAATTTAATTGTTGTTTGAACAGCATAGTGTGTACCTGCACAAACCTAGATAGTATAGTCTACTATACACTGAGGCTATATGGGATAGCCTATTGTTCATTGGCTGCAAACTGGTGCAGTATGTTACCATACTGAATACTGTAGGCAATTTAAACACAATGGTAAGTATTTGTGTATCTAAACATAGAGAAGGTACAGTAAAAATCTGGCAAAGATAAAAAAGGATACACCTGTATTACCATGAATGGAGCTTGCAGGACTGGAAGTTGCTCTGGGTGAGTCAGTGAGTGAGTGGTGAGTGAGTGTGAAGGCCTAGGACATCACTGTACACTACTGTAGACTTTAGAAACACCATACACTTAGTCTGTACTAAATTTATTAAGAAAACTTTTCCTCAATAATAAAGTAACCTTAGCTTACTGTCACTTTTTTAACTTTATAAACTTTAAACGTTTTAAAAACATCTTTTGTAATAAAACACTTTGGTTAAAGCAAACATGGTGGCCGGGCATGGTGGCTCATGCCTGCAATCCTAGCAGTTTGGGAGACCGAGGTAGGTGCATCACCTGAGGTTGGGAGTTTGAGACCAGCCTGACCAACATGGAGAAACCCTGTCTCTACTAAGAATACAAAATTGTCCGGGTGTGGTGGCGCATGTAGTCCCAGCTACTTGGGAGGCTGAGGCAGGAGAATCGTTTGAACCTGGGAGTTGGAGATTGTGGTGAGCTGAGATCATGCTATTGCACTCCAACGTGGGCAACAAGAGCAAAACTCCATCTCAAAAACAAACAAACAAAAAAAGAAACAACAACAACAAACATGGTACAGGTATACAAACATTTTTCTTTATGTTTTTTGTAAGCTATTTTCTATTTTGTTTTTTACTTTTGAAACCTTTTTTGTTAAAAAAATTAAGACACAAACACACATCAGCCTAGGCTGCATAAGATCAGGATCATCAGTATCATTGTGGTCCACCTCTACATCTTGTCCCATTGCGGGAGGTCTTCGGAGGCAATAACACGCATGGAGCTGTCATCTCCTGTGATAACAGTGCCTCTGGAATCCCTCCTGAAGAACCTGCCTGAGGCGGTTTTACAGTTAACTTTATTTCTTAATAAGTAGAAGGAGTATACTCCAAAATAACAAGGGAAAGTATAGTATTGTAAATATATAAACCAGTTACAGAATCATTCACTGTCATTATCAAGTACTATGTATTGTAGGTGATAGTATGTGCTAGACTTTTATTCAGCCGGCAGTGTAGTACTGTTTACACCAGCATCACCACAAACACATGAGCAATGCGTTGCCTATGATGTTGCAATGGCTACGACGTCACTAGGTGATAGGAATTTTTCAATTCTATTATAATCTTATGGGGCCATCATCATTAATGTGGTCCATCATTGGCTGAAATGTCCTTAAGTGTCATATGACAATACTGGGTTTGAATTTGGTCTTGGGAGTCCTTAGACTTTGAATATTGCAGGTGTCTGGCTGTCGTGGGGTTAATTCTCTTGGTTGGCCTGTTATGTCAATGGGACGGTACCATGTATATCCACAGATGAGCCGGTTGGTTTGCCCTGCCCAGTTTTGTGGTTTCAGTCTATCCGTGACCCACTCACCTACCAAAGGGAGTTATCTGTGGAGTGAATCAAGGGAAGCCTGAGCGCAGACAGGTCTCCTACTGCCAAAAACAGTGTTCTCACTTACCATACTGTAGGTGATGTAATTAGGTGATGTTTCCCATCTACATCCTTATTTGAAATATAATTTTTGTGTATTTTTATTCCCAGGTCCATGTACTTTTATTTGCATATCATAAGTCTCCTGATAATACTATTTCTGCCAATGAAACCACAAGCTCATATGCAAAGGTGGCCTCAGACTGTGAACTCTATCAATAAGAGAAAAACAGATTGATACCTCCAAGAGAAGCGGACAAGCAGAACTGCAGAACGTTCGAAAGATGAGATGACAAGGCTCAAGGGTTCCTCCGGTGACTTAGAGGCGATGTTTACATGCATCTTTATTTTGTTCTTTTTTAAAGTGCAGGGAGTATTTTTATAAAGCCTTTTTGTACGGATAAATCGGCCATGTCCAGGTTATTGGTTTTAATATTTTATAGGACATTTGAGTGGTGCGGCAGTGTGTGGAGAATGTGCCAGAGCTGCAGAGACAGTCCATTCTGGGATGCTGGCTTTTTGCCCTTCCAGCATGATTTCCAGCTACGGTGACCTGGATGCTGGAACCCAGGCATTGGCTCCAAAAATTAGAAGGCGAGTGCTGAGAAGACTTGACACAGGTTTCTCAAATGAGAATATACTCAGACATGGTGGTTCCCTGGGAAGCCCCAGATCCTTTGACTTGTGACGTTACTGGTTTGCAGACATAATAACTACACTCAGAGGACCATGGAGGCGGAGGGATCATGGTTTCAGGGCACTGAAAACTCTACGAGTCAAGAGGACTAGTGCATGGACTGAAAGTCAGACATGCCCTCAAATAGGCTGCATTTTTTTTTCCAGGAATGTAACCTTTCCCCTTTTTCTTCTGACCTGAGCCAAGACTGAAAATCAGAAAGTTTCCTGTACGTGGAGCTGAAGAGGGGTTGCTGTTTCCCGAATGTTTTCCAGTTCACAGGCGCCGCCTGCCTGCCCGGGGATGGCCTTGAGAAACACCCAAATGTACATGAGGCAGCAGAATGCCTTTTAGGAAATTTTTAAAAAGTAATTTAAAGTTATGTAGAAGTTTGGTAAGAAGAAGCAGTTGTTTCTCTCTTCTCCCCTCATTTCATGGAGGTGTTAATGATCATGGCTGGCCGTGATGTACGCATGGGCTGATTTTCATTTTTTCAGTTTCATGGCTGAGAAATTCAGCTTTGTTCTAGTTGAATCATCATATTGGAAAGCAGATGTTGAAATTTGTCTTTTCTCTCTTTGTTATGAATGTGCTATGGCCCCTTTTGGAGACTTCTATTGGGTAATATTCCATGTGAGAGAAGGAAACATGATATTAAATGTTGTGAAAAATAATAATGATGATAATAATACAATATATGCTGCAATGGTGTACTCTCAATCAGGTTGCTTGGGAGGAGAAAATTTATTCAAATCCAATGATAAAACATTAGTTTCTTATTGAATAAACAGTATGTTCCCATATAAAGGAAATGTTTCTGATGGGAAGAATTGCTTTTTGTCTGTGAATAGAGACTTGATGTTCAGAAGCCTGTGTGTGTGTGTGTGTGTGTGTGTGTGTGTGTGTGTTTTTTAACAAATGTGCACCAACTTAAGGTTTTACTGTATATTTCAGGCCCTTGGGTGTCTTGTGTTTTGGTGTAATTTCAGATCTTTATTCCCAACTTTGCAGGTAGGATTTTACCCCCTTTCACAGATGAGGGTACTGAGAATCAGAGAGACTTTTGCCAACTGCCGTAAGATCACAGCATTAGTGGTAGAGCTGAGATTTGTGTCCCAGATGGTCCTATGAAGACCACCAGCTGTGAGTCTTTCCATAAGGTGTCCTACTGGTGCTTCTCTTAGGATAGTGAAATGTGAATGTGATGTGCCTGTCCCTCTTAAGCATGCATACAGTCCTGGTGCTGGGGGCGAGTACTAGAACCCAAACTCTAGTCCTTATTTGGGATAGTGAAAGTTAAGAAGTAGTAGATGTGAGCTAGTGCATGAGTCTCATCCTACTTTAACAAGGAAATCTTGGGGCAACCCAACTTTGCTATCTCAGGAAGAATCTTAGATAGTGGGTAGGGGAAGGGGCTGTAGGTACCTAAAATCTATCAGAGTTTGTCTCCACCAGGAATAGCTTGAGGTACAAGCTTCCTGTCTCAGGAAGAATCTTAGATAGTGGGTAGGCGAAGGGGTTGTAGGTACCTAAAATCTATCAGAGTTTGTCTCCACCCGGAATAGCTTGAGGTATAAGACCAAGAAAAATGTACATCTTATAAACTAGCAAAAATGGTAAATATTACCATTGGTGTGTAGTAATAATATGGACATGTAGAATATTCATATTACAGTGAAGTCTTTGAATTTACAATGTGATTGATGACCAGGTTTCACTGTATGTAATGTAAGTATCCTCATGTCTGAAAGAAGAACTTGGTAATGAGAGGAGGGGTGTCTGCTTCAGTGACCAGCTGCCCTGGTTTACCAAGGACTCTCTCAAGCCTTCAGTCCTGGGCAAACTGAGGCCATTGGTCCCACTAGTGACTGCCCAGAATTGATTACTCCTTATGGAATGAGGAGAAGTCAAACCTCTAGGAGTTGAGCTTATGGATGCTATATGTTAGACTTGGTGCTAGGCTCTGGGACACAAACATGAGGCTTTATTCTGTATAAAAAGAACAACACATAGGAGACTGATTAGCATCCTTCTTCTTCTGAAAACCACTTACCCATAGAAAAAGATTTCAATTGAGGACCAACATTTAGACAGGAGGTTGGGACTGTTTTTATTACCTTAGATTTCCAAGTTGTCCTAAATATGAGATGCATTTAATAAATACTTATTGGATTGTGAGTTTTCAGTTGAAAATAAATACACTTTCTGGTTTTGTTTTTGAAAAAGCCAAATCTAAAATATTCTATTTTTTTCGTACTTTGAAGGTAACTATATGGAGCAAGAATATTATTCAGATATGATTCAGTGGTTGCAAAAAGCAATAAATAATTCAGTTTGAGATTCTGACTGGCTAAGAGAGAAAAAGGCAGGAGGAGAAAACTGGAAGAAGAACAGAGGAGTTAGGTGGCTCCCAGAACTGGTGCGGTGTGTGTCCTTCCGTTACTCTGCAGGCTCTCAGGTGGTCCTTCTCAACTCCCACTGCACATTGGAACCACACAGGAAGCTTAAAGAAAGTGATTGATGCCTGGTTTCTCCAGGGACCACATGTGTTTTCTCTTCTTGTCTCTGGCATTTGGCATAGTGCTTGTCCTGTAATGAAGATTCACTAAGTGTTTGTTGAATGAATGAGGGATTGAATGGATTAGTTTAATGCATCATTGCACTTGACAGTTTTGATTGAGTCACTTTTACACTGGGAAACATCGTTTCTGCTTTTCAGAATTAGTTTCTGAAATACAGGCTTGTGTTTTTGGGGAATTCTGAAAGCACATTATGTGATACAATCACTCAGACAGCCAGTTTACATAGTCTGAACCCCTCTGGTCCACCCATCCATTAATTAATGCATTCACTTATTTATCAAATGTGTCATGTCTGGTGTGGGCCTGGCACTCTGTGAGGCACTGCAGGTAAAAGATGCTGAAAACCCCCATTCTCTGCTCTTGGAGAGTTCACAGTATGCCCAGAAAGACATGATCCAGAGGAGTGCGCAGTAGGAGTGCCTAGGAGAATTCCAGCATTCAGAAGTTATAAAGTGATCTATTGGCTGATCCTTGTTTTCTTAGAGTGATCTCATTTTACAGTGTTGAGAATTACCCAGGACAGCAGCATCACTGCTGCCTAGCCTCATGTCCAGGTGAAGTTTAAACTTGCCCTTGTCCTGAAATTGGGTATTGAGCTTGCAACATGTCAATGCCAATCAATGCAGTAGCTACCCAATGGAGCAGACTGAACTCTCATGGTTGCCCATAGGGGTAGTAGGGTGGCCAGTCCCCCTCCGGAGGGACCTTCAGTGAAGTTTGCAGGCTTAGTGAAAGACTTCATGAAGCTTCAGAGGGAAGGTATTTGCTTAGTGAAGGTGCAGCCCACGTGAGCTTTGTCTAATGCCCTAAAATTATCTGACACTACTTACTTTGTGCTAAGACAAAGAAAACTAACAGTTATTGACAGCTACTTTCACATGCATTCCTAACACAGTCTGTGAACTTGGCAGTATTCTCTTTTGCAAATATGGAAAGCAAGTAGCAAGTAACTTGCCAACAGTCACCCAGCTAGTTAGTGGAGGAGCTGAGGTTGGAATCCTGGTTTGGCTGACTTCAGAGTCCATCTCACCGCCTGGTGCAGAGCACGTTCATTTTCAAAGAGACAGAGTTTTAAAGCTGGAAGTAACTCCAGCACTCACCTGGTCTAGTGGTTTCCTAATGCAGACCAGCTGGCCTTGTCACTTGGGAAGCTTGCTAAACACGCAAGGAGTGGGGAGATCGATTTGCTGTTAAGTTGCTGATAGTCACCATTCCCTTTTCTCAGGGGAACGGTGTGATTGATATCAACATGGGATAATGGTCGTGTTACCATAACCTTCTTCCCAGTGGTTAAGGGTGATTATATCCTGGTGGAATGGGGAGGTGAGAGCCTAGCTAGATTGTTTACTTCAAAAAGAAGGTATTTTGGAACATCTGTGATTGCTTTGTGTTCCTAAAAGACCTTTTAACATGGTTGTTTTAATGCATTTTGAGATATGCAAAGTTTGGCCTAGACTTTAAGTAGCTGGTATGCGTAAACTTTGGGGAAATTGGGCAGAGACTACTCAGTGGAATAAAGAGATGGCAGAAAATTGGGGCCTGAGGAGAAAGGAAATTCCCAGTGGGTGGCCTGGTCGGGGAGATCTTTAAGAATAGGAAGGTGGAGAATTCCTGGACTCTTAGGTAATGTTCTCCTCTACTAACATAGCTAGAGACACATTTCATCTTTAAAAAGAGAACAAAACCTGTTTCCAGTTTAGGCTGGCATTGGGAGGAGAGAAGAGAACAGACTAGGATATGCCTAGCAGTAACCTAAGCCTCCCTCAAGAATCAATCTCCAGAAATACAAAATACTAGCCGTGGAGTTGGGGAATGGAGCTATGTTCTCCATTATTTGAATTTCTAAATCCAAGGGCATCTTATAAAGCAGTAGACCTTAGGGATATGCAGGTAACAGATGCCTTCACAGATACTTGATTACAAACAGACTCCTGGGTCCCACTCCCCAGATATTCGGATTCAGTCGGTCCGAAGCCATGCCCGGGAATCAGTATTCCTAACGAGTTTCCCACAAATTCTGATGTACAGCCGGGTTTGGGAAGTACTGGCTTCATCTTATTCTTTACATTTGAGGAAACAGGCTCAAGGTGGGTGGGTGGGTTAATGTGTTGCTCCAGGCATCATAGATCACTTCTGTAGCAGAGATGAGGGTGGAAGCGCCTTCTCTTGACCCACTAGGGTGTACTTCCCACAAATAGACATGCGTTCTCTAAAAAACACCCAGCACAGTGGGTCTCAGAGGAGCCCTCTGTCTTTCCTGGGACATTTTCTCAGATGAGAACACCCTCCTTAGGCCTGAAAATGAGGGTCCAGGTGAGGCGGATGCGTCCTAGGGACCTGTAAGTCTGCACTCTCTGAGTGTGGGTTGGCCTCCGATCTTACGCAGCCTCACAGACAGTTTTATTGTAACTGCTGATCCAACCTGTGGAGGCAGATTGGGAACAATTTTCTAGAAAAAAGCCTTTCTGTATCCACATGGCCCTCAGGATCCAATGGCCCCTTTTGTTCTCAAACAAAGAAAATTCATATGGGATAAGCACTTTTGGCATTAAAATTTACACTGTCTAAGCAGTTGCTGGCTACAATCAATCGTCCATTCATCCTTGGCCTTCTTTCGGTCTATTGTCTGCTTGACAGGCAAAATGACCTTTCAGCATTTCCAGCTGCAGTCCCAGGTCGCAACTGTCTCTGTGTCCGCTGGCCTGGAAAAGCCACCAGATGCTGGTACAAGTTTTCTGCATGGTCACTGGTAACCTCTTCCCTCCAGTCCTTCACGCTGCTGCCTGGTACTCTTCCTGGTGAGCCCTTCAGGATGCCACTCTTCATCAAAACTCCTGCCGGCTCCTGCTGCCTACACCATAAAACCCATGCCCTTCCCTTCCACCCTCACCAACCTGGGCTCCTGGCCCTCCTTTCAGGTGGGCAGCTGTTCCATGTGCAGCCAGAGTTTGTGACTCGGCGCCTTTGTACCTTTAAGTTCTGCTGCCTAAAAGAACATTTTTTGAATAGGCACTTCCCAAAGCAAAAAGGGCAGAAGGCCTTTTAGACAGAGAAAATGTGCAGTACAAGATGCTATTTTTTCTCTGAAGTCCTTCTCACTTCTAGCTTCTGCTCATAGATCCCCAATAATACCTTGTGTTGTGATTAGCTTGGCGTCATTTGTCCTTCCCCAACCAGACTGCCAGGTGCCTGACAACTCATTTCTTCACACCTGGCAAGGCTCTGACCCAAAAGGGTATTGGATCAATGTTAGTTGAACAAATGAGGGAATGAATGAATTCCATTAGCCGCGGCAGGATTTTCTCTGGGATAATGAAAAGGGGCCGTCTTGGACAGGTGGGTTGAGTTTGGTGTTCTGGCCCCTGCATTTACTGACCAGGACTAGAAATGGCCCTAGTAAAAATGAGCTAATGGCTGTCTATTTCCTAGTGCCTTAAAATCCGGGCTTTCCCTTCACTGTGGTGCTCCATCAAGCTCTCTGGCTAGGATTCGGGTTGGGTAAGTCCAGCATGTTGGAACGAAGTTCCTAAGAGTTCTTTATTTCCTGGGAGTCCGTACTGGACTTTCATCTTTTACAGCTTTTGGTAGTTAGTGGTTCCATTAGAGACTATGTAGTGTTTCATTGTCTGTATAACCAAGAATGTATTCATCTATGCTTCTCCCGATGAACTGGCTAGCCCTGCCATAACCAAGTACCGCAGGCCGCATGGCTTAAACCACAGAAGCATATTGTCTCATGGTTCTGGAGGTTAGAAGTCTGAGATCAAGGTGTCAGCAAGTTCGGTTTCTTCTGAGGCCTCTCCTCTTGGCTTTTGGCTGCTGTCTCCCCACTGTGTCCTCACATGGTCTTCCCTCTGTGTGTCTTGTCCTAATCTCCTTTTTCTTTTCTCTTTTTTTTTTGAGATGGAGTCTCACTGTGTCTCCCAGGCTGCAGTGAAGTGGTGCAATCTTGGCTCACTGCAACCTCTGCCTCCTGGATTCAAGGGATTCTCCTGCCTCAGTCTTCCAGGGAGCTGTGATTACAGGCGCCCACTACCATGCCCAGCTAGTTTTTGTAATTTTAGTAGAGAGAGGGTTTTGCCATGTTGGCCAGGCTGGTCTTGAACTCCTGACCTTAGGTGATCCGCCTGCCTTGGCCTCACAAAGTGCTGGGATTACAGGTATGAGCCACCATGCTTGACCATCTCCTCTTCTTATAAAGTCTCCAGTCATACTGGATTAAGGCCCACCCTAATGACCTCATTTTAACTTATTTACCTTTTCAGAGACCTTGTATCCAAATCCATTCACATTCTGAAGTCTTGGGGATTAGGACTTCAACATATGAATTCAGGAAGGATGCAGTTCAACCCATACGACCTTTAGTGGTTCTTGCTGTTTCTGTGGTAGTAAATCATACTATGGTGAACATTCTTTTTTTTTTTTGGCAGAGTCTCGCTCTGTCACCCAGGCTGGAGTGCAGTGGTGCGATCTCGGCTCACTGCAAGCTCCACCTCGCGGGTTCATGCCATTCTCCTGCCTCAGCCTCCCGAGCAGCTGGGACTACAGGCGCCCGCCACCACGCCTGGCTACATTTTTGTATTTTTTAGTAGAGACGAGGTTTCACTGTGTTAGCCAGGATGGTCTCGATCTCCTGACCTTTTGATCCTCGCACAT